TATATTAAAACAAATATTTAAAACATATGAGCTTGCATCTAATGCAAAAATTAACAAACATAAAACTAAACTAGTTCCACTCACTGCAAGTGCTAGAAAGTCAGATTATCAGAAGAAGAATACTTCAAAAAATTAACAGAACATGAAACATTAACCATTCTGGGATATATGAAAAAAGACCTATGGCCAACAATGATCAAGAAGCTAAAGAGCTCCTTAGAAGGCATAGCCCAAAAAAACCTTTTACTTAAAGGAAAAATATTAATAGTTAAATCACTAATAATCTCAAGAATTTGGTATACAGCATTCCTTCTACCACCAAACAGAAAACAAATAACAGAGATCAATCAGATAATTACACTATGAATAAAAGGAACTTCAAAGATGTTACCTAAATACTCAGTCTTTTAGCTTTCTGCAGACCAACAAGAACTAGAAGCTCTGATCATGAAAGATATGCTTGACACAAGATTACTAACAGTTTGGCTAAAGCTCCTAACAGGAAACTTTTTATGTTCTAAATTCGAGAGAGAAAAGATCACAATGATAATAAAAGAAAAAAGAAATATCTTAGTTCTACAAGCATTGAAAGGATTACCAATAAAATCAGCAGCTTGGCCAACAGAATGGAAACCATATATTCTTGTCTAGAAAAGAGTAGAAGAAACAATCAATGCTTCCTTATAGCAGGAGAAAAAAAAATAAAATGAAATCTCAGTAAAAAGTCTAGCAGAATCCTTAAGGAAAAAAAACTACAAATCCTGTAAATACAAATCTGAAAATAAGCCTTATTAATTAATGGTTAGATGTAAAGGCAATAGAATATAGAAATAAAGATATTGCCTGGCACCTTTTTTACAGAGCTCTTCTACTTGGTTATCGACTGCATCATGTGAACCTAGAAGAAAGTGGTGACTGTATATGGTGCATTGATAAACTGCAAACCATTGAGCATTTTATTATAAACTGCAGAATCAGTCAAGAAATTTGGAAGCTAGCTTATTCCTTTCTTGACACTGGACAAGCTGAATGTCCTTCCAGAACACTAGAAGAAATCTTTAATGCATCAAACATAAAGAGTAAAGAAGAATTACAAACAGCATTATGGCTGCATATTAACACAATCTACAAAATCTGGTGCCAATATACAAAAGTTAAATGGGAAGAATATTACCAAACTCTAACAAGTATACTAAGTACAGTTAAATGCTATTTAAATAAAGAAATCAAAGTAGTACAGTTTAGCTTAAAAAGATTTTCATCTAAAAAGAAAAAAGATATATGTAAATATTTACATTACAGATAATAATAAACATTATTAATAAAAGAGCACCACACATGCCCTTGACCTGAGCATCAGGGTTATAATAATAATAAAAAAAATTACCTTTAACTACTATCTATTTTTGTAAACTCTTTCTGATACACTTTTAGTAACAATACAAAAATAACAAAATTTCACAAAAACTAAATAAAAACTTTTTTTAAAACTTCTCTGGTAGGGCTAAAGCCCTTATACCCAAGAAAAGAAACTTATTTCTGTCAAATATGAGCAGCTTGATACCCAAGAGACCAAAACTTCTTGACACTAGAGCCAAAAAAAAGGACTTTGACTTGTCATCAGAACAAGAAAAAACTCCTATTGTAGAAGCAGAAACAGCAAACATGCCATATTTACCAAATAATAAACCAAGTAAAAGCAACAACTAAGGCAATGAAAACTGAGCCAGTAACATAGAACAAGAAGAAAAACCAGTTGGTAAAGGCAAACAAAAAGCTACTTCTTCTACAAGCAAAAACAACAAGGTAAAAAACAACAAAACACGTGCAGTAGCAAATACAAAAAACAACAAACAAACAGATACAGAATATGTGCATATCACATATGACAAAATTGATATACAAGACAAAATCGTTGATAGCACAACATCAGATGATGTGAATGACAAACCAGCTAACAACAAACCCAAGCAATGGTCAGATTTATTCTCAAAGCTGAAAGGAGGCAAGGCAACCTTCTTTAACACAGCACCCAGAAACAAGATCTATTCTAATAATGAAAATGCTCTTGTTTTTGATATTTCTAAGCTTTCCAACACACCTACCAATGACATCATCTCAACTCTCTACATCAAATTGGGAGAAGATATGCTAGCAGCAAAAACTCACATTATTAAAGGCAGACAGGCTCTCTTAGAAATAGCCTTCTTAGATAAAGACAAACAACAACTGTATGCTTCAGAAGGGATTACAATGTTTAAACAAACATTCTTTGGATATGTCCCAGTTAATCTTAAGTGTACATTTCTTTCAGTTAAATTAAAGAATACACCAATAGGCAATAAAAAAGTTATCAATGAACAGATTAAGAGAGCTTTCCAAGATATCAGCACTATTGCCTCTATAAAACCACTTCTATATGAAGGAACCCCAATATGCTCTAACCAATGGATTGTAACTTGAAATATCAAATGATCCAAACCTGATAGCAAGACTATCTAGACATATGCATGTCGGTGACCACAGAGTCACTACAGACTGGAAGGAGGCTCCAAAAATATGTTATTACAGTGAAAAAACAGAACATGTTAAAATAGAATGTGCAGAACTTAGAGCTTCAATGGAATTAAGACAGTTACAAAAAGAATGAAAGAAATCCTTAATGGAAACAAACAAACTTAATCAAAAAATGCAAACAGAAAATATATCCTACAGTTCAGAAAACCCATATATCTCAAATATGGTTACAAAACAAGATGGACCAAACACTAATATACCAAACCCTAATCACCTAAAAGAAAACAACTCAATCAATACTATAGATGATCAGGATTTAACCTTTGAGGAAAACACAACTAGTATCCCTATTTCGAAACATGGTTCACCTTCAATAGAAGCTAATCACAAGAACACAAACAATGAAACATCTACTACAAACTATGACCAAGATATAACAATGGAACCATTGGACTGTAACAAAGAAAACAAAACTGAAGAGAAAGAATTTACTTTGGTCACTTCAAAAAAGAATAACTAAAAAGGAAACAAGAAGAAAACCCTTACAACAAGTGAGAAAAGTAATAAGAGTAGGACAGAGAATGCCCGAACAGGCTTCTTTTCCTACTAGTTAATCATTTCCTTTCAGAACAAACTGCTGTATGGCCAACATATCTCTTTATATCTTATGATTAAGGTTGCCACACTGAATGTCAAGGGCCTTAACAATAGAGTTAAGGCTCAAAAAAACCTAACACTTTTAAAGTCTTATAAGTTAGATATAATATTTATCCAAGAAACAAATCTAAACGATCTTGCAACAAGAAAGTTTCTAGCACAACAATGGAATTATGACTCAATTTGGACTTCCAAAACAGCTATTCTAATTAGAAAACTAAATATTAAACTAAAGAACTCCAAAATCTCACACAACAACAGAGTGATATCAGCAAAAGTAACCTTTAAAAATAAACTTTATCTACTTACAAATGTCTATGCACCTCCCAGTTGGGATAATAGGTGTCAATTCTTCAACAACTGGACACCAATTAATGATAACAGTGCTATTACTATTATAGCAGGGGATTTTAACACCAATTTGGATCCTCAAATTAACTGCATTAGTCAAGCACCTTTGCAAAATGATCCTTCTAAAACACTGCTAAGAGAGTTCATGAAAGACTACATAGACACAGCAAGTTTTTCAAAGAGCAACTCCTTCTTAACCTTTTACCAAAATACTCAAAACAATCAATTAATGGAACTTGATTAGATTACATATTTGTTAAAATTGAATCTGGCCACCTCAACTTTGCAACTACTACTAGACTAGGTAATTCAGACCATCTTCTAGTAGAAAGTACAATTTCAGGCAAAAATAATTTATACCATACACCACTTTGGAGGTTCAAAAAAGAACATTGGTATAACTTAGAACTAAGAGCTGAAATTATAAAAGAACTACAAGAAATAAAAGAAGTACAAAACTGAGATCTCTACAAATGCATATTACAATCAATTGTTAAAGCTTTTAAACCAAACACAGTACCAGAAAGAAAGATACAATAATTACACAAAAAACTATGCAAACTAAACAATCAAATTGCCAATAATCCTGATTTAGAAGATCTTCAACTTATTGCTGAATACATGAAAACACTAATCCAAGAAGAAGTTACATCTCTTTCTGAAAAATGGCAGATTCGGTCAAATGCTAAATGGATAGAAGAAGGAGAAAAGTCTACAAAATATTTCTACTCCCTCT